TTCAGCTTCCACTCAAAATAGGCATTTTCAAAATGATATAATAAATGATCTGTGGAGTATTTTGAGCTGTAACTTCACAGACACATTCTAGGAACACCAGAGACTTATATTACATATTGTAAAAAGGGCATAATATGCCTCCTTTAAGAAAATTAACCATGGTTTTATTATAACAAAAGTGTACTAACCATGTTTTTTCTGTATAACCATAGTTTTACAACAAATACCATGGTTATACTATGGTTAATGTAGCAAAACCATGGTTAATTCGTGGTTACCCTGGTTTAACTACTGTATATGTAACCATGTTGTTGTTTTTTACCTTAAGAGGACACATGAATACAGAAATGCAGTTTTGACTGCTTTAGGATTAACAGAACTCTGTATAGCTGCATGTACTCGTCTAGATCAACTCTGAATAAAGAAAAGAGAGATTTAGAGCCAGATTTTTGTTTATTTACGTGCAATTTAGCTAGCAGGAAACACAAATTAATTGAGTTATATTTTCCTATAGCATCTTGAATCAGACTTTCTTTGAGGCACGCATGTGAAAGCACAGCTAAAGCTCTGGAAAAGTCGATAAGAGGGTTTCACTTCCCAGTGGCTCAAGCCCGCAGCGTCACGCTGGTCTGTGCTGGGTTTCATTAACCATCATCTGCTGAACATGCGCGCTCACATCTGTCCGCAGGTGCTGGGATCTGAGGGGCCGCCCCTGATCGAGCCTCTGGCCCCTTCAGTGTCCCCTGAGAGTGATCATTCACGGACAGGACAGAGGAATGTTTACATCTGTGTGTAGAAGTGCATGTATAGCAGCGAGTGCATGGGGAATTGAAGGGGATTTTTGTGATATTTTCACAATCTCCAATATGAATAACAACCTGACACGACAACATCAGCCCTGCAATAAGAGCTTCGCATCCAAAGTGCTGCAGAACACTCGTGAAATGCTTCTATTTTGCATCCTTTTCTAACTGAATCCAACATTTACAGGTTTTCAGCACAGCAAATTAAATGAAACGCAGAAAATATTTTTCGTCCGGCCATGCAGGATTTCTCAATTAACAATATTTATCTTGGTTGTCATGCACAACCTTGTGCTAAAATAATACATTTCTATATTCTTACATTGTTATTTGCACTTCTGGTTGGATGCTTCTGTATTTAATTGGCTTTGTACTGTAGCCAGTGAAGCCAATAAAGAAACATGAATGTGAGAATGTTTTGTTCTGTTTATTTTCCAGGTATATCGCAGATTTTCAGCAGGTTTTGCACTGTTTACACAAAATAAAACATATTTAAATCATTTATCCCATGTGTAAATGTAATATATGTCATATATTGCCCCATATCAAGAGTGATATTGCCATATATATGTCAATATATAATTTTCACATACTTACACAAGTTTATAACATGTATATGTGCATATGTTAATATCTATATTATGATTTTTTTTAATTAGCCTAACTATTTTTTATGGTATTGTATGCTGCAACCATATGTGAACAATATAGCCTATGCTTACTTATGCAACTTTATTAATACAATGCTTATACAAAAATATGTGTTTATATATATATATATATATAATACTCATATAATATAAAAATTGACAGGTTTTAGGATGAATATACATGTGCATGACATATGTACAAAAATGTGTTTCATAAACATATATTTACATAAGCTAGATATATATGACAATATATTTCATACATGGCGATTTAATATATTGGGATATTTAGATAATCATTTGAGGGAAAAGTGGTTAGTAGATTGTACTATAGTCTGTAGAAAACATATTAAAGTATAAGGCCTCTATATAGTGCATTATGCTGTGGTTTCTTTGAGAATGCATAAAATAATTTTCACTAATAAGCTAATGTTGAGTTATAAGCTCCAACTGACATCCAATGCATGCACTTGAATTCATTAAATGAAGTCTGATTTGATTTTATTGTGTTTAATCTGCCTCTAAAGGCCCAATTGAAGGCCAAACCCCAAACTCAGCCCTGAGAACATCTGTCCGAGGTACACAGCTTCTGCAGCTTCCTCTAGCACAGCATATTTGATTAGGACATTTACTGTTTCTTGCTTTTGGGACAAGGTGTTGAACTCTTTTAGCAACTTTTGGTTTTCCGGTTTTTCTTTCAGTTCAAATGAGAAAAGCCTGTGTGTGTTTTTTTGGCATGTGTGAAAGAATATGGCAGCAGCTGTTGCTGGATTTGAGGACAGAGGGGGGCAAAGGGCTCTGTTGCCGGGCAAAATGGACGTATTTAGCAACTCAACCTGTTGACATTGCAATCTCTTGGTTTGCAGCAGGTCTGATGGCACACTAGTGAGAGTTCACCTGGTCAAGTGCCTTCCATAAGATGAAAAAAAAAACACACACTATACAAGTCAATGCGGACCAGCAACTGAAGGTGAACGATCCCAGAGAACCTGTCATCTGTACGGAAATACTTGAACTCTCCACTAGAGGGAGTTATAATACCATTTTTTCGGACTTTCTCTCACTCTTGTTAAGTGAAAAGTGAAAGTGAAAACCTGTGGATAACAAAACATTAAATCATTCTGAATTTGTTTTTTCCTCTGCACATATCTGTAATTCTAGATCATTTCAGAGCTATTTTAGGATATCCAAAAAGCTGGCAGTAGGCCTGAAGAAACCTTATTACACACTAAAAAACATATATATATATATATATATATATATATATATAATACTCATATAATATAAAAATTGACAGGTTTTAGGATGAATATACATGTGCATGACATATGTACAAAAATGTGTTTCATAAACATATATTTACATAAGCTAGATATATATGACAATATATTTCATACATGGCGATTTAATATATTGGGATATTTAGATAATCATTTGAGGGAAAAGTGGTTAGTAGATTGTACTATAGTCTGTAGAAAACATATTAAAGTATAAGGCCTCTATATAGTGCATTATGCTGTGGTTTCTTTGAGAATGCATAAAATAATTTTCACTAATAAGCTAATGTTGAGTTATAAGCTCCAACTGACATCCAATGCATGCACTTGAATTCATTAAATGAAGTCTGATTTGATTTTATTGTGTTTAATCTGCCTCTAAAGGCCCAATTGAAGGCCAAACCCCAAACTCAGCCCTGAGAACATCTGTCCGAGGTACAGAGCTTCTGGCTTCCTCTAACACAGCATATTTGATTAGGACATTTACTGTTTCTTGCTTTTGGGACAAGGTGTTGAACTCTTTTAGCAACTTTTGGTTTTCCGGTTTTTCTTTCAGTTCAAATGAGAAAAGCCTGTGTGTGTTTTTTTGGCATGTGTGAAAGAATATGGCAGCAGCTGTTGCTGGATTTGAGGACAGAGGGGGGCAAAGGGCTCTGTTGCCGGGCAAAATGGACGTATTTAGCAACTCAACCTGTTGACATTGCAATCTCTTGGTTTGCAGCAGGTCTGATGGCACACTAGTGAGAGTTCACCTGGTCAAGTGCACACTGCTGTTTGTGCACTTAAATCAGTGCCACAGGCCTGGCAGGGGTGGTTTGGCTCAGTAGGTGTGATGTGTAGGTCAAATTAGGTCCCAGAATGCACATTAGCATCTGTATGACTGTTTTATGAACATACATGAATCACATAATCAATGATGGTCATGCAGAAATGAAAAAATATTCATAGATTTTGATCTTCACTCTTAAAAATAATGGTTCCAAAATGGGTTTTCACAGCAATGCCATAGAAGGATGCATTTAATCCCTTAGTAAGCACCAACACTAGAAGGAAGAGGAATATTAGGCTGGAGAAAGACCAAATCTCTCCTATATACAGTAGGGATTTTCATAGAGATGATATAGAAGAACCACTTTTGGTTCTTCAAAGAACATTTCAGTGAATTTCACAGCAATGCCATAGAAGGATGCATTTAATCCCTTAGTAAGTACCAACACTAGAAGGAAGAGGAATATTAGGCTGGAGAAAGACCAAATCTCTCCAATATACAGTAGGGATTTTCATAGAGATGATATAGAAGAACCACTTTTGGTTCTTCAAAGAACATTTCAGTGAACAATTCTTAAAAGAACCTTTTTTCTTACAATCTTGAGAACTTTCTTCATGAAACCATCAAACACTCTTAAAGGGTCTTTATTGGCTTTGATGGTTCCATGAAGAACTTTTAACATCCACAGAAGCTTTACATTCCACAAAAGGTTCTTCACACTAAGAAAAATGGTTCTACTAAGAACTGATCACTGAAAGGTTCTTTTGAGAAGCAAAAATGGTTCTTCTACGGCATCGTTATGAAAAATGCTAAAAAAAAAAAAGGTTCCAAAGTGTATTTTTTTGCAGTGATGCCATAGATGAACCATTTTTGGTTCCCCAGAGAACCTCTCAATGAGCAGTTCTTAAAATAAACATTTTTACTAAACTAAAGAATGTTTTCCACTATAAAGAACCTTTTGTGGAATGGAAAGTTTCCATGGATGTTAAAAGTTCTTTGTGGAACCAACAATTCGAATAAAGAACCTTTAGTTTTAAGAGTGTTTGATGGTTCCATGAAGAACTTTTAAGATCCATGGAATCTTTCCATTCCACAAAAGGTTCTTTATAGTGGAAAAAGGTTCTTCAGAACATTCTTTGCACTAAAAAAAAAGATCTTCTAAGAACCGTTCATTGAAAGGTTCTTTGGGGAACCAAAAATGGTTCTTCCATGGCATTGCTATGAAAAATGCTAAATATTTTATTTTATTTTTTATTTTATATTAATATTTTTTCTAATCTAAAGAACCATTTTCCACTATAAAGAACTTTTTGTGGATTGGAAATGATCCATGTATGTTAAAGGTTCTTCATGGAACCAACATTTCCAAAAAAAGAACCTTTAGTTTTAAGAGTGTTTGATGGTTCCATGAAGAATTGGAACGGAAGAATGGAATCTTTACATTCCATAAAAGGATCTTCAGAACGTTCTTCACACACTCTTAAAAAAGGTTCCAAAATGTAGTTTTCGCAGCTCCATGGAAGAGCCATTTTGGGTTCCCCAAAGAACTTTTCAGTAAACAGATCTTAGAAGAACCATGGTTTTCTTTCTTTTTAATAATCAATTTGTCACTGTGAAGAATTTTGTAGAATGGAAAGGTTCCATGGATGTTAAAGGTTCTTCTTGGAACCATCAATGCCAATAAAGAACCTTTATTTTTAACAAAAAAATGGTTCTTCTAAGAACTGTTCACTGAAAGGTTCTTTGGAGAACCAAAAATGGTTCTTCTATAGCGTCTCTTTGAAAAATGCTAGTTTATTTTTGAGAGATTTTCAAGATTTTCGTGTCTTTCTCTTCCTTCCTTCTGATCTAGTTAGTGCTGGTAATTACTAAGTGACTGAATGCACCATTGTTTCGATGATCAAACAATCCCAAAATCCCACAGATGACTATTGCAGGAGGAACCGAACCATTTCTACAGACCAGAAGATCACATAGACTTGTTCTTCTCTGGATTGTCCTCGTCCTCTTCAAGATCAATCATAAATGACTGCATCTTCAGAAAACTGCTAGAAAAACATTCACGCTTTCTGAAAACAAACGCTGTGAAACTCATTATCAGGTGATTCTTGAAGAAAGCGGCGTGTGTTTCACTAGATCCCACAAGTGAAATCCAACTTCCCCTGCTTTCAGGTGAGGAAAAGAAAGTGCGAGAAATCTCACAAGACAATGAATTTCTATCTCATGTTTTGCAACTTTCTAACAGCAGTTTTGCACAGATGTGAGTGTGTGTGAGAAAGTCAGAACGAAAGTTGCAGAAAAGGAAGAATGGACATTTTTACTTTGTTTCCATGAAGTTCTGACGGAGCAAAATAATAGAATCAGTGAGTCAAAATCAGAACATGTGGCTCTGAAAATTACAAACTAATGCCAAAATTAATCTTTTTTGACTATTGCATTCATATTTGAACACTGGAAATACCGGCATAAACATGAGATATAATAGTTGCATGGTATATAGATCTAGAAATATACTTTTCTATATGAATTAGCAGATAAAGGCAACATAAATTACCATATTTTTAAAATTTGTTGTGAAAATGATTAATAAATGTATCATCCTGCTTCTGCAGATATGCCATGTTTTTAGGAAAAATGTTTAAATAAATAAATACATATAAAATAAAAAATATATATTATTTATATTATTATATATACGTGTGTGTGTATAAAATAAAATTTATACAATTAAAAAATAATATAAAAATATTTTATATTATTAAAAATGTAGATATTTAAAAGTGATGGATTTACCCTTTTTTAATCTAATGGAAAACCAATATTTGGCATGTTTTCAAGTCTAATTTAAGGCTTGCACTAACGGCTGCTGGTAAATGACAAACTTTCCTGCATGGCTGAAGATGTGACATGAATAAAATATGTTCAAAAATATACATTTTCACCAACCATGCCAGTTTCATATAGTGTCATAACCAATCGAAACAAAGCTGTTCTCATGGGTGTGTGTATGAAAAAACTGCAAATGTTCGTGTGTTTCTTCATGCATCTACAGGTGAAGGGTTGTGATGTTGGTTCACGTATTTATGATCATATCATGTTTGTTCTCTGCGTGTGATCTGAAGGATGTTTCATATGTCTACAATCTTTCATAACTTTCATCTTTTCTCACCAGCAACCCAAAATCTCTCGGTTTCCTAAACGATCGAGACGAACACTGTTCCTGAACACAGTGTGCTGCCTACATAGGAAGCATTTCAAGGCATCATAATTATCATACTTAAATACAGAAAAGCAGTAAAATAGCTCAATCTAATTCAAATGAACTCTTTAACTGTGTATGTTAGGTTTTAGCTTAGCATCAAATTAACATCAAACTTCACTGAGATCAACTGCAAGTCGTTTGAGCTTTCAGCAAGTAGACAGCAAGCTAGTGCACTAGGTTTAGGTTTGAGTGAGTGTAAATAAATCATAATTTCTCACCATCCATATGCAGCTGAATGGTGTTTTTAATAGCTGAAATAAAAGAAAACCGACTGTATGAACATTGAGATTATAGACATTTTAAACATGAAGACTTAAATGGGTTAAATATTGTAAGGCAGACTTTCTCTGACTGATGTATTAATAGATGATATGCTGATTAATAGCTGATATTTGTACCTTGAAAGATACACATCTGCTCCTTATATGAGTAATTGTGTTTTATTATTTCTCATACGCCTGCCTTTTTGGAAAAAAGCACGTCTCAAATGACAAAGCAAATATTTTACAAACAATTACATCTAAAATTATAGAATATTTCACCATTATTTCATACCGTTCTTCAGACCATGTTTGTGGAAATATGCATTTCATAGATCAATCTCCTGAAAACATTTTCAGGTCCAATCAATCAATAAAAAAAAACCGATGTGAGATTCACACAGTGACTTTAATTTCATGACTTGACAGTTTAGTAAGAGTTTCGTGCTGAACAGATGATTTAACATGAGTTTAACAGGTGGTTATTTTGCAGACGACGGGATTCATTTGAATATCCGGCTATCAACCACAAAATATAACAGATTTCTGGGAAAAGGAGTTTGCATTTTGAGTCATAAATACAATTAAATATAATTAGATAGATAGATAGATAGATAGATAGATAGATAGATAGATAGATAGATAGATAGATAGATAGATAGATAAAAAAGAACGGAAAATAAAAAATATAAAATAAAATGAATTATCCATAATAAAAATAAATAAAAAAATAAAAAAATAAATAAATATATATATATATATATCCTAAAGTTAAAACATTGTATGAGTTTGTTGAGTTTTTAAAGCCCTTTATTTTTTTATTGCTTTTTGTGTCTACTCTAAAGCACTCCATTTGATAAAGCCATTGAGTCTCCCTATTTTATTTTATTTTTTTCAGAAAAAGAGGAGAGAATAGCTAAAGAGAAGGAACAAGGGACCTATAAAGAGAAGGTGAGTAAGTAAACATAACATAAAAAAAAAAATATATATATATATATATATATTATATCTATCTATCAATATTTATTTATAAAATATATAGAAATAAGTATATATGTATATACCAATAAAAATGTATAAACATTTTTTAAATTAAATTACTACTAATTTCTCCATCATTTCAGCACCAAATTCATATGGAAATTTTTCCACAAGCTTGTTTTATCCTTCAAATTAACATCTTGATAGTGGCATAAAGCTACATAAAAGAGGAAATGAATGTTATTTGACTTTTAATAACGCAGAAATGTTTGGGGTAAACGGAAAGAAATTTGGTGTAGAAACACGAAAGATAGACAGATGAATAGCAATAAATAAATAACACACACACACACACATATATATATAATTAAAATTAATATATAGATAATTTATTTATTCTATTTAATTTATGAATATAGAGAAATTAGTATACATGTATAGAAAAAAAATAATTAAAAAAGGTATATATACTTTTTAATTTATGTAATTATTTATTAAATATACATTTATTTACTACTAGATAGATAGATAGAAACAGTAGATAGATGGTAATAAAAAATAATTACAATTATATATATATATATATATTAAAACACATTTAAATAGCAATTAATTTCTCCTTCATTTCAGCACCAAAATCATATGAAAAAGTTTCCACAAGCTTGGGTCACCATAACTTTTATCCTCCATATGAACCCGTGGAGGGTCAGGTAACACTATTTTAAACAAGCTTATTGCAATTCACTACTAAATTAAACTCTAAAGTAATATCTGCCCATGATAATGAAACAGTTAGGGTTGTGATCTGTTTCTGTGTCCGTCTCTCTGTACAGGTGTGTAACTTCCTGTCTGTCGCTGACAGGAGCAGGAGGGACTTCCTGTGTGAGCAGAACTCACCGTCCGATGTCCACTATAGCCAGAACTCGTGCTGGGATGCTGGTATTTATTCTCTCTCTCTCTCTCTCTCTCTCTCTCTGTAGTCATTTAAAAAATATATTGAGTCATTTACAGTAAAGTGTGTGTGTGTGTGTAGGGTACCAGATAAGTGGCTCTTTCTACAGCTGTAACACGTTTGACTCGCCTCCCTCTCCGTTCACTCTGGACGCCAGCATGAGATCAGCAGAGGCCATGGCACTGTCAGGTACACACACAATTAATAAACTCCCTAGCAACACCCTGGCAACCATTTAGAATATCTCAGCACACAACAATCAACAGCAGGCAACCACTCAAAGCACCTTAGCAACTGCCTTGCAAAAACATAGTAAACACTTTAGAACAACCTTGCAACCATCTAACAATGCCTTAGTTGCCAACTTCTTAGCAACCTCTTAGCAACAGTCTAGCAACAGCCTACAAATTCCCCAGTAACCGCTTAGGGGCCGTTCACACGGAACACGTATAATAATGTGAGACACAGTGCAGAATGCCTCCTCCACTATGTTACGGTCAAATAAAACAGTTTCCATGCCAATTTGCTACTGTAAACAAAATCTTGCAACGCTTGCCCCGCCTCTGGGGTCTTCTGATTGGTCCACTGTTTTGGAACTGACATTGATGATGACAGAGTTGAAATTCTTTTAACTTGACACGCTATCTTAAAAACGTGGCGCTCATGTGCGAGACACTGCAAAAGACTCGAGACACGAGCGCAGCAGTCATACACGTCCATCTAATGGGTTCATATAGGAAAAAAAATTGAAAAATAGTGCTTTGGAATGGAAAAACGCATTCTGTGTGAACAGCCCCTTAAAACATCATAGCAAACACATAGCAACAGCCTAGCAACAGGGTAGCAACTACCTACAAATGGCCCAGTAACCACTTAGAAAATAATTGTAACCACCTAGCAACTGCATAGCAACGACCTACAAATGCCCCAGTAAGCACTTAGAGGAAACTTAGCAACTGCCTAGCAACAACCTAAAATGCCTAGCAACTACCTACAAATGACCCAGTAACTACTAAAAATATTTTATCAACCGCCTAGCAACTACATACAAATCTTCCAGCAACCACTTAGAAAATCATTGTAACCACCTAGCAACTGCATAGCAACGACCTACAAATGCCCCAGTAAGCACTTAGAGGAAACTTATCAACTACCTAAAAATGCCTAGCAACAGCCTAGCAACTACCCACAAATAACCCAATACAAATAACCCAGTAACCACTTAGAGCATCTTAGCAGCTGCCTAGCAACTATGTAGAACATTTTAGTAACAGTTTAACAACTACCTAAAAATGCTCCAGTAAATACTTAGAATATTTTATTAACTGCCTAGCAACTACCCACAAATGTCCCAGCAACCACTTAGAAATCATTGTAATCAGCTAGCAACTGCATAGCAACTGCCTACAAATGCCTAGCAACTACCCACAAATAACCCAATAACTATTTAGAAAATCTTATCAACCACCTAGCAACTACCCACAAATAACCCAATAACTATTTAGAACATCTTATCAACCACCTAGCAACTACCTACAAATAACCCAGTAACCACTTAGAGCATCTTAGCAGCTGCTTAGCAACATCCTAACAACTTCCTACAAAGGCCCCAGTAACTATGTAGACATCTTAGTAACAGTTTAACAACTACCTAAAAATGCTCTAAAACATTAGTCACATTTAAATGCAGACTCAAAACTAATCTGTTTAGCTGTGCATTTACTGAATGAGCACTGTGCAACGTCCGAACTGATTGCACTATATTTTATGTATAATCACTTTCTATTCTTAACTGTTTTAAACCTCTTAAAACAATTTTTAAATAATTTTCAAAGTTTTTAAATTCATTGTTTTATTGTTGAGCTGCTTAGCAACATCCTAACAACTTCCTACAAAGGCCCCAGTAACTATGTAGACATCTTAGTAACAGTTTAACAACTACCTAAAAATGCTCCAGTAAATACTTAGAACATCTTAGCAACTGCCTAGCAACAACCTAAAATGCCTAGCAACAGCCTAGCAACTACCTACAAACGCCCCAGCAACTATGTAGAACATCTTAGTAACAGTTTAACAACTACCTAAAAATGCCTAGCAACAGCCTAGCAACTACCTACAAATAACCCAGTAACTACTTAGAATATCTTGGCAACCACCTAGCAACAGTCTAGAAACTCACCTGCGTCTCTGAACCGTTCCAGACGCCCGTCTGCAGGTGACGGTGTTCAGCGGGGAGACTCTGGTCGCGGACGTCACCGTCATGAGCGCCGAGGGCTGTCGACTGGCTCCACATGACGACAATTGGACCTTCAGTGGCCTGGGTGGCCCGGAGCTGGTTCCTCTCCCTCAGGCTGAGAGAGGAGCGCTGGAGGGGGGCGTCTTGCTCTGGATGACGCCTGATGGCCTGTACACCCGACGCTTCTGTCAGTGCAGGGTCTACTACGACGGGACGCATGCTAACCTGAGCGCCAAACTCTGCAAACTAGAGAGAGAGCAGACCAGAAAACTACTGGACACACAGCTCTTCCTGACAGGTTAGAACAGCTCAACAACTACTAAACGTCGTTTTAATATATTTAATAGTTAAAGGGATAGTTCACCAAAAAATTTCTGTCATTATTTTACTCATGTTGTTCCAAACCCGTAAGACTTTCTTTCACCTTCGGAGCACAGATGAAGATATTTTTAATGAAACCTGAGAGATTTCTGTTCCTCCACTGACCATCTATGCAATAACCACCAGTGTTGCCAAGTCCATGGTTTTACCGCAGAATTGGAGATGGTCCTCACTGCAGAACACAAGATCCAGGGGGCGTGGTTGGATCGAGACCCAACTCCTCCCACCTTACATATACCTAAACCTACCCGTCTCCACCCCCTGATCCGTGTGTGTGTGTGTGTGTGTGTGTGAGAGAGAGTGTGTGTGTGTGTGAGAGTGTGTGTGTGAGTGTGTGTGTGTGTGTGTGTGTGTGTGTGTGTGTGTGTGTGAGTGTGTGTGTGAGAGAGAGAGAGTGTGTGTGAGTGTGCGCGTGTGTGAAATTTCATGACTTTGAGCTTGGCATCTGTTGCTCCTCCCATAAAAAGGCAAATAATTATGAAAAATCTCATCTGAAAACTCAACTACATGAGAAATCAAAACCAAATTCTCAGCAGCCTCTGCTGAAGACACAGCCGCCTTCTCAGCTCCCGTTATTTGCATTACTGCGCTGTTTAGACTATATCCCCACGCTTTGACTTGTCAACCTGAGGATGTCGGGAAGCTCCGGGAATGGGAAGTTGCGTCAGTGGCTGATCGAGCAGGTGGACGCTGGGAAATATCCCGGCTTAGTTTGGGAGGATCGAGAGCGGACCGTCTTCCGCATCCCGTGGAAACACGCAGGGAAGCAGGACTACAACAGAGACGAGGACGCCGCGCTCTTCAAGGTGTGCATGTTATATAATAGCTGCAATATAGGCAATATATATATAGTAATATAGGTGCATTTAAAAAGTAATAATCAGTATTAATACACAACAATAATACATTGCATTTGCATGCAACAAAATAATGAAATATGAAGCACATTTTGCTAATGTAAATTAGTCACACTAAGTGTTTATAATCATTTCAAACTGTATGCATGAATATTATGTTAAATGTTTTGATTGTAAAGTGTGTTTGTACATTGATTTATTTATTTGCAATAAATGCCAGTTGTTTTTAATAGTTTATATCCATGCATTTTATAATGCATTGGCATTCAGACATTTTCAGGTGTGTAAACACTTTTAGGGCTGCTGTATATTCATATGTTTTTGCAAATGAGATCTGTTCTGAATAATTTATGTTAATGAGTTGTTAATGATGTCTGGTTTATTGAACAGGCCTGGGCTCTGTTTAAGGGCAAGTATCGCGAGGGAATAGATTCTGTATTCACATAACCCGCTTAATTTATTAAACTGCATGTTATGCATTTTTAATGGAAACAGCTAATCTACTGTCTCGAGATGGTCACTGCAGAACACAAGGTCCAGGGGGCGTGGTTGGATCCAGATCCAACTCCTCCCACCTTACATCTACCTAAACCTACCCGGCTCCACCCCCTGATCCATAAACCTACCCATCTCCACACCTAAACCCACCAATCTCCACCCCTAAACCTACCCATCTCCACCCCCTAGATGTGGATCCAACCACGCCCCCTGGATCTTGTGTACTGCAGTGAGGGACTACTGCAAAATTGGGCTACTTTTACACCGTTGCTGCGGGTTGTTTTTTAGTCCACAGTTTAAAGCAATCTCCCCCACCCACTGGAACACTATTTCCACAGAGCGGAAAAACACGATTGGGCTAGTTTTGAATAGCAGTTGGGCTGATTTTGTTTTGCAGACCTGGCAACCTTGACTACCACTTTGACGCTACAAAAAGTTCATAAAGAGCTTGTTAAACTTTATTTACAAGTAAACATTAATCAACGCAAACATCAGTTATGGCAAATGGAAGCTCAAGCATGCTTGCTTGACGTGTGAGAACCAATGAGGTTCATCCTTGTGTGTTACGCAGCATGTTAAGCTTCTGTAAGAACCAATGAGTTTTTTCTTGAGCGTCAAGCAAGAACGGTTGAGCTTCTGTTCATGTTCTCTGATCAATATAAATATGTGAATAAAAGCCTAAATTAATCATTTCAAACTGTATGCATGAATATTATGTTAAATGTTTTGATTGTAAAGTGTGTTTGTACATTGATTTATTTATTTGCAATAAATGCCAGTTGTTTTTAATAGTTTATATCCATGCATTTTATAATGCATTGGCATTCAGACATTTTCAGGTGTGTAAACACTTTTAGGGCTGCTGTATATTCATATGTTTTTGCAAATGAGATCTGTTCTGAATAATTTATGTTAATGAGTTGTTAATGATGTCTGGTTTATTGAACAGGCCTGGGCTCTGTTTAAGGGCAAGTATCGCGAGGGAATAGATAAACCGGATCCTCCCACCTGGAAAACCCGGCTCAGGTGCGCCTTGAACAAGAGCAGCGACTTCGAGGAGCTCGTGGGCCGAAGCCAGCTGGACGTATCAGAGCCTTTTAAAGTTTACCGCGTTATTCCCGAGGGAACCAAAAGAGGTGAACACACAATCACATTTATACACATAAATATAAATATCACATTTAAATATGAAATTAATTTAATGACATAATGCAGATATTGCATGTATATACTCATTTACATAAATAAAAAATGAATAATTTCTGAAAAATGTATTCTATGCAATTTATAAATATATAAAAATGTGTATATAAATAATAAAAAAGAACAAAAAAAAAGAATAAAATGTTTAATTCAATTACAACTCATTTCAAAAGAGGTTTATATATTGTATATATATATATTGTAATATATGTAATAATTGATTAAATATACATTTATGTATAGTAATAATTAAATTAGATAGACAGACAGACAGATAGATATAGAGAAATTAGTATGTATAGAAATAAAAATTAATAAAAAAAATTAAATACAAATAATTTCAAAAAAGGTATATATACTTT